CATTGCTGCCGCCACCACACTGGGGCTTGACTTTGCCCTGCCCTGTTAATCATGTCCAGACCGTAGCTCCCAGATATTTGGGTTTGAATGTGACGGCGATATGCATCGTGGTGATCTCCTGCTTATTGCTTTTAGTGAATTCGGTGGGCTTGGCGTTGGTGATGCAATTATCGCTGAGCCACGTCTCATACTGGAAACATGATGATCCTCATATTCTTTCTATCTCCCAATAGATATATTGATACCAAACGAAATTCTGCACCTGGTTAAAACTGATAGACAACATCTTGTTCTTACTCTACTTTTAAAAGATTATAATTCAGATGAATTTTTTTTTTGGAAATCTTATGACAAAGACTGCATATTCATGTAGGGGGCATGTATAAATTAGGAAAAAGTATATTTTTTGTCCCTGAACTCTTCTCAAAGTATAGAAATGGTCCCTCAACTTTGAAACCGGCAAACATTGGTCCCTCAACTTTTTAAACATGATTTGTTTAGTCCCCTCACTCAACAAAAGTGGTTTTTATGCTGACTTGGCATAGTTTTGACCAGTCTTCGCCCATGTGGCAATTTTCTTCTTCCTTCACATTTTAACTCTGTTGGGCATTTGGTCGAGCGGTTGGCGCGCGCCGAGCAAGAGGAGCAGAGGCGGGCGTGAAGCCTGTGTGGCTCACGGGACCAGCAGGGCCGACTGGCCGAGGTGGGATTGTGCTCACGGGTAGCAGCGGCGTGGGCGCGTGGCGGCTTGGCCTTGGCGGCGAGCCTGTAGCACCATGGATGCATTGCCGTTGCCGAGCAGCTCCCGGGTCGTGCACTGCATGTAGGCGGCAAAGTGCCAAGGTACACCCGGGACTGCACTGCACTGCACTCCGTGTTGTATCTTGCACACCAGGGACGCCCGGCTCGAAAGGCATCCCCTCGATCGGGCGGACCACGTGAAACCTGCGTCGTCACGCTCCAGCTGCGCGGACACGGCGACCACGCTGGGTACACCCGGCCAACCGACGGTCCGATGCAAGTTCTGGCAAAGGCTCGCCGTGCGCGACCACTGCCTCGTACTCAAGCTCTACAAGAGGATGATGCTGGGGCGGTCAAGCTCGTCGACGTCGGTGACGAACATGACCTGGGCGCCTGAAGCGGCGAGGAGATGTTTAGCGTCGCTGGCAAGGCGCACGTACTTGTGGATGCTCGCACAAGGTCCTGAACTCCCGATCGCATTCGCAGGTGAATGCAAGCTCTGCCACATAAGCTCAACAACTCCCTCCTTCTCCTACTGCTCGGCGCGTGCCAGCTATTTGACGAAACGCCTAGCTGGATTAAAAATTTAAAATAGGAAGGACGAAGAAGCTTGCCACGTGGGTGAAAACCGGTCAAAAACATGCCAAGTCAGCACAAAACCGCTTTTGTTGAGTTCAGGGGACTAAACTAATCCGCTATGAGAAGTTGAGGGACCAATGTTTGCCGGTTTTGAAGTTGAGGGATCATTTCTATACTTTGGGAAGAATTCGGGGATGAAAAATATACTTTTCCCTATAAATTATGAACCAATTAGTCCCAGTTCTCAATTTAAACCTCTGCCTTTATTTCCAAATTACCAACTGCATCTATTGTGTGTGATTTCTTCCAGTTTACACAATAAACTATCATCTTAGTTACTGTATTATATACCCCCTTTATCTCAGTATATATCTAGACCACGAAATCTTATATTTTGAGACAAAGGGAGTAGATGTTACCTTTGAAATGTAGCTGGCCAGTTTGACTTCAACTTGAGAGCTTGGATGAATTTCTTCTCAATGGATGTCTGCTCCTTCGTTTGGCGAATCACACATCAGCCTGAACCAGCGCCAGCTAGCAGCCAGCAATTTTTTTAATTAGTTTCTTTAAGGAAAAGTAAAACCAGTTCTGAACTGCGGAGCACGTACAAATTTGAAAGAAAAAATCCTCTGAATCTGCATCTCGGCAAAACACTTCACACCCAGCAGAGAACCAAGTCTGAAGGTCCTCTGAATTCTATCACATCATGCATTCGCCCATGACATATGCATCTCTGTGGACTTTGATTTCTGATTCTACCTGCAACCAGAGTGTTTTCTCTCTAAAAAAGCAACCTGAGTGTACACAACCAGCTTCAGTTCGTACATGTAGCAGAATGGCAAGGAAGAATTGTGCTCTGTTGTGTCTGACCAGATGAGGGGAGCATGGACCTCCGCGCCTTGATCCGGTAAGAAGGAGCTGCCGTTGCCACCGACGGAGTGTTAGATAACTAAAAGTAACTAGCTCTCTCAGGATTAATGCACACACACTTGCACTGGGAAGGCTCACGTACACTACTAACTTTGAAGCTTCATTGCTTGGGTTTACAAGAGATGGATGCATGCCCTTTTATAGGGGATTACAAGATAGGTTGGTGCTGCACGTGTACAGCCACCTCACACACCTAGGACATCCACCTCACACACCTAGAAACTAGCTAGTACCACGTACACACATGCTAGAAGGTAGTACTTGATTACAACTCAAACATATTCACTACACGCAGGTACCTTCGCTATTAAGCTAACCAGCCTTGCCGACGTCTGTTGATATTTTTACTGCTCAAGATATTTACTCTCCATGGATACATGCACTGCTGACATCCTCTGATATTATTCGTACACTGCCTTCATGCAGCAAGATTATATGTAACACGGAGCACGCTGTGCTCATAGAAGGGAGGGAGGGGTTAGATGTCAATCGGGTTGAGGTAAGGGAGGGAGCCGCGAGGATGGTGGTGGTAGATGGCGGGGAAGGGGGCAGATCGACCTGCCACCGGCCGCCTCTGGTGGAAGGGAATCCATCTACCGCAAGGAGGTATCCTATTTTTATTGACGGACACAGACGACTAGACCGGTTGTTCTTTTTTCTTAAACACAATACAATCGAAGTCGTTCATATACACTTATCTTTACGAACGCACGCATGCACACCCTATCTTTGGCGTCTCGCAGTCGACGGAGACATGTCCTCTCATTGAACGAACATCACCGGAAGACTGAAATAAATTGAGGAATAATGCGAGCACCAACGTCAAAAGTCTAGGACTTAAACCCTGATAAGCCGAGGATGCCACTGTCCTCCTAACCATCCAATCATAGATTGGTTCGCTATCGAGTGGCTCTTATCTTTTCGTAATCTAGAACATTTGTTCACTAACTTATTAGTATTATTAGGAGGGACACCTAATTTTACTTTATTTTGTATCGTTAGGATAGGCAACTAGGGAGTATTTGACAAAAAACTATCAGTTTAGGGGTGACCATCCCATAGAACTATCACTTCCAAAATTTTAACAAAAAACTACCAGATTTTTGATAATTTGTCCCTAGAAACTATAACTTTTCGTTGATGACCGTTTTGCTCGTTTTAAACAGAAAACTGACAACTGTGGCCCACATTTCAGGGCCACGTGTCGCTGAGGCCTAACGGCTGGCACCCGGCGGCCGTCATCTCGTTGGCCCGTCATGACCTGGTCGGACCAGGTTAAAGCGGCCGGTCAGCTCACTGTCCTCCTCCATCACTCACTCTCCTCGAGCTCACTCTCTTCTAGTCTTCTTCACTTCTCTTTTCTCACTTCAGCGACGACGACGTGCCGCAACCATGCTGTCGTGGCCCCACAACAATGAGAATTCGTTACAGATTTATATTCATGGATTTTTATAACTACTATTCATGGATTTTTAAAATATTCCGAATTTATTACAAATTTATATTTCTTTCTGCATTTCAAAAAATGTTCCGAATTTCAAAAATATACAAGAAACTGAGAATTGTTCCTGGATTTATAATGGTCATGAGTTTTATAATTATTTGTGTAATTAAAAAAAATTCTGGATTTTAAAAATATTCCTGTATTTCATAATATTTTCATGAATTTTAAAATTTCCCTGAATTTCAAAAACTATTCATAAATTTCCAATATATTAATAAATGTAAATAATGTTTCTCTATTTCCATAAAATATTCCCGTGTTTGGAATAGCGTTCCAATTTTTTTAAAAGTTCACGAAATAAAACATTGGAAAATGGAAAAAGATGAGAAACAAAGGAAAATACGTAAATAAAAAAAACAAGAAAAAGGTTATCTTCTTCTCTTAGCCCAGGAAGAAATAAAACTGTTAATTGGACCGGGCTGGACATAAGAATAACTGGTACGTTGCCTCTATCTTCCTCTCCTGGCCCAGATCACTCGCCCCCCTCCTAGCTCATAGCCCTACCTTTCCCTCAAAAAAAAAAAAAAAAGAAGAAAAAAGCTCATTGCCCTACCTGAAGGGAAGGACAGGGCGTGCGCCGCCGTTCAGCCGGCAGCTTGACACCGTCCCCGTCCCCGTCTCCGTCTCCATCCCCGTCGGCGGCCACTGCTTTGCCTCCCGATTTGAGGTCCGGCTTTCTATCTCCTTCCTTCCGTCTTAGAGATCCACCGATTTCTTTTCTTTACTTCTCTCGTGGAAACCATAGCTTACATCTTACTACTTGCTTGTAGTGGAGCGGCGGCAGTAAGAAGCCGTGAGAGAGAGGGGGATCGATGATGGATGCTGATGAGAATGAGATCCCCCAACCGTAAGATTTCATTTTCATTGCGCGCAGTTTGTTTCTGTTCTTGCAGCATTGGATGTATTAACTGCAGCAACATTGTTGGCCGGAGGAATTTGTCTGACGCCGCTCTGCGTTTGCCGATTTTCCAGGGAGGAGGAGAAATCATGCGTGCATCTCGAGTTACAGGGGCACACCCCAACATCGATTGCGGTCACGGTATCCAAGGTGCTTGATGACGACGACCTCCTCGTTGAGATCCTCCTCCATGTCGCGTTCCCCACCACGCTCGTCCGCGCCGCACTCGTCTGCAGGCGCTGGTTCCACCACGCCTCCGACCGCCGGTTCATCCGCCGCTTCCGCAAGATCCACCCGCCCCGCCTCCTCGGCTTCTATGCTTTTTTCGAGCGTGCACGCTTCATCCCGATGCAGCCTCAAACCCCGGAGCTTGCCGTCGTCGTCCGCCACCTTGCGAGCTGCAGGTTTGCCTACTACATCAACATTGAGGACTGCCGCAACGGCAATGTCTTAACCAGCGGCCGACGAGAAGGAGTATGGACGTATCAAGTCTACCACCTGTTGTGCCCTGAGAGAGATATGCCCTTCATTCCACCACTCCCTTGTGCCGAGATCGGAATTTACTACATTCTCGCTGAAATCCTCTCCAAAGAAGAAGGCGATGGCCTTGGTCTGTCCTATTTTTATTTGTTGGTGGAGCTTGCCAAGGAGGCAAATAAGGTCATGGTGCGCGTATATATGTTGCAAGATGGTGCCTGGTGCATGCTTACCTTGGCCACAAGCCAGCTCCATTATCCGCAGCCAAGGCCAAAGCCTGTGCTCGTCCACAACAAAATCTATATGGCTGCCGCCCAAAGTGACGACATTATTGTCCTGGATTTGACAGACTCAAGTTTCTCCACGATTCACCTCCCACAAGGAGTGGAGTATGCCTCTTCAGAAATCATGTTGTCACAGACCAATGATGCTTCTGGTGTATATCTCATTCATGTCCGTCCCAAGGAGTTTCAACTTTGTGTATGGCTCCACAAGGGAGGCAACTGGCTGCTGGTAGATACCATCTATTTGCATGAGATGCGTGCTATTTTGGGGAAGAAAGATCACCCGTATGTGCGTATAGGGAAGGTGGGAGACGATGCTCAGTTTGTATTTTTAGAGGTTTCTCGATACATATTCTACTTGGATATCAAGTGCAGGACACTGCGTAAAGTATATGAGGAGACAGATGATGATCGATGTTATGGCGGCGTCCATCCTTTTATGATGATTTGGCCTCCCACATTCCCTGCCCTCAAGGATAATCCTGAAAGGTTTGCCTTTTGACCTTTAGAGGATCTGTGTGGTGCACTTGTTGGGGTTACAAAATTTTGTGATTTACTGTACATCGTGTTTGGTATAGTTGTGTAGTGGTGTTAGCTGCATGATTTATTCCTTAGGCCATAACTGATATTTGAAAGAGACAGGATTTTCAGCACCCGGGTGCCCTCTATAAACAGTAAGTTCAAAACAAATTTAAAAAAATCAAAAAAATCTGAAACTTTGGGACATCGAACATCATGAAACTTTTGATGATCTTGCAAAGTTTTAGCTAAAAATAACACTCGAAGAGGACTCAAATAAAAAAACAAAATCATTGTTCAAAGTTTATGTACATTTTTGAGCAGTGATTTTGTTTTTTTTGGTGAGGACTCCACAAAGGTTATTTGTTGCTGAAACTTTGCAGGAGCATCAAACCTTTGATAACCTTTGATCCCTGTAAGTTTCAGTTTTTTTTGATTTGTTTTCAATTTTTTTTTACGAATTTACTGTTCATGAGGGTGTAGTGGCACCCGGGAGCTGTTAGGCATTTATATATTTGAAATGCTTGCCGTATCACTTGTGTGCAACATTAGAGAATGCTTGTCGTAAGATTGTTTGTAATCACTTGTGTGCTGGGGTAGCATTACAAGGTGTTTATTTGCAGTCATGGTAAGGGACCCTAATCTTGGGTCTGGGTTACTTTTGTTAAAGCGTGTGTTGGCACCAGACAACATGCTTCCTGGACTTGTTCTTGCCCTTGTATGGTCTCATAAAGTCATAATAGCAATATGTGGTGGTGCTGAAAGATGATTTGTTTGGCATTTTTACCATGGACCTCTTATTTTGTTGTATAACTATTTTCTGAGCTGTCAGCTCAAAACTGCAAATTGGGCATTCAAAAGTATAAAACATCATGTATATGAGGCAAGGACTGAAAGATTCCTAGCCCCGTTACTATGTTGACAAATATACCTATCTGGTCCTGAAATCTTATCACAAATCCATCAAGGTTGGAATTTTATCTATGTTTCTTATAGTGTAATTTTCTGCTATCTTCCTTTAAACTGACA